GAGGGGTCAGGTCCCAACCTCTCTGCACCCCTCACGGATGCATTCTTTCTGCTTGCAAAGTCTTCCCATGTTCTGGCTCTTCAGGGTATTTAACATTTTTTGTTAACAGCGGGGGTTTCCAGAAGAAACAAAATTACAAAGACAGAAAACAGAGCAGTGGTTGCCTAGGGCTGGGGGTGGAATGGACAGGATGGGCAGATGGAGTTGTGTATGTTTGGAAACTGGTTTGCACTTGTGGCTGAACTGCTGTCTGAATTCACTCACACCACAGTATACCTCCTGTGGGCAAACTGGGGCATGTAAATTCCGCTTAGATAAAGCTGTTTAAAATGCAACTATATGTAAAATGAAATCTCTTAAAATCACAATTGGTGAGGGATTAACATCTTCTAGATACGCTATAGAATGCCTTCTGTCAATGGTGGTGAACTTAACACTGCATGGGGAGCTGGATTGGAAGCCATGGCCTTTTGGTGACCACACTCTGCCCGGGTCTGTGACCCCCTGAGTTGACACCCTTAGAGGGGGTGGGAGGTGCCAGGGAGATGGAGCCTCTGCCGGGTCCCCCACCTGGCTTTCTGGGTGTCACAGACCCTTGGAGCACCAGGCACCACTGTGAGCTCTGCCTTTGCCACAGAGCACCCCTGCCTTCCTGTCTTTGTGAGGAGAATTTCCTTTCCTCAGCCCCAGGGAGCAAACATGCAGCCGGGAACAATTGGAAAATCCGGGTTGGCCTGGCCTTGTTTCCCCAACCCTGGCCCTTTCCACCTACCTGGACCCAAGAAACAACCAAGAGATTGCCTCGGAGAAGAGCCCCTCAGAGTGCAAATGGCTCAGCACCTGCTCGGGTTTCACACGCTTTGCAGGCTTTCCTCGCCCCTGGCCACCCTGACCGGTGGCCTCAGCCTGTTTTGCAGGGGAGATGGGAGATAGACCCTTGTCCGAGGTCACACAGCTGGTAAGTGCCGAGCCTCCTGCTCTCCACTAGAAGCCACTGTCTGGGAAAAGGCCTGGTTTCCTGCTCAGGGGAAGCTGGGTGAATCAGAATTGTTGACTTGTTTGCGAATCACCTACCTTACTCTCCTGCCTGTCTCATTCTTGTCAGAATACCAGGACAGTGCAAATGCCACCTCCTCCAGGAAGCCTTCCCTCAAACCTCCACCCACTCACCCAGAAAGTTCTGACACCCCCTCCTTTGGGTCCCAGTAGCAGAGACCAGAAGCACGAGAAATGCCCTTTCGGGGACTGTGAGTAGTTCCACCTGGAGCCTGCAGAAATGAGGCCTCAGAAGTCAGTGAAAACCCGAGCCTCTCCCCCAGGGACAGTGGGGGCTATAGCAGGGCTCTGAGCAGGGCTTGGCCAGCAAAAGTGTCTCTGAAGAGGGCGGCTCTAGCTGCTGGGTGGAGGACAGACCCGAGTGGGGCCGGATGGGAGCTGGGGCCCACTGAGGAGGCTGTGGCCCGGGAGTGCTCCAACGGCATGGCGCGCCCTTTGCCTCTGCCCTCCTTCCCACGCCCTTCCTGCCCCATACCCGCTCCCTGGGTATCTGATCAACTCCAGAGAGTCTTCCACTGCATGGCCTGCTGCTTCCCCAGGAGAGTTTTAGTTGGTTTCTTCTGGAGATGGTGTCGGAGGGCTGAGTGCTGGGCCTGCAGGGCAGCAGGACTGTGGACAGAGGGGAAGCAGGGGCACTGCGCACCCCACTGGGCTGGGAGCAGCCCCGGAGGCCCAGGACAGTCATGAACCAGCTACTCCTGGCTGACTCAGAACCCCCTGCCCTTCTTATCAGGCCTGAGGAGTGATAAGGGGCCAGTTCCTGGACTGCAGGTTCTAGGCCTTTGTTTGGAGCTGCCAGGAAGTGCCTTGTGGGCTTTGCTGTGCCTTAAGGAGTGGGGCTGACTCACAGGGGTCGGCGGCTGGGTGTGCCTTGGGGTGGGGGACGCCCTGCACTGCCAAGCACCAACTGGCCGGGCGGGGAAGTCCCTGATGGGAGTGTCGGCCCCCACACCCACCTCCTGACAGCCAGCAGCGAGAGGAGGCCTCCTTGCATTGCTCGCTTGGGGCGGGAGGGGTGGCCCCCCCAGGGCGTCTCCTCTTTATTCTTCAGGCAGAAAATATTTCCAGAATATTATTATTCCGCAAAAGCGTTGACTCCCTGCTGTGGGCCACACTAAGGGCTTTGCCGACACCATCTCCTGTAATCTTCCCCCCAGGAGCAGCCCAGGGAGTTGGGGTTGTCACTATCCACATTTTGCAGATGAGGAAACTGAGGCTCAGAGAGAGGAAGTGAATTGTTCAGATTTACTCAGCCAAGGAGCAGCAGATTCAGGATTCAAGCCCAGTCCACAATCCATAGACAACTCCCTTGAAAAACCAAAACAGATGTTAGGACAGGATATGGGAGTCCGGAGTCCTGTGAACCACCTGGGTGCCGTCCACAGCCTGTATCAGGTCCTCAAAGCATCGGGAAGAGACCATCGCCGCAGGGGGCCCTACCAAGGCGGGCATGGTTCTCTGTGTGCTGTGCTCCCCAGGCCAGGCAGTGCGTGAGGAAACGTGAGCAACCTGAGTTCATAAGTGAGCAGCTGGGGTGGCCCTGTGGTGGGCAGGCTCTTCTTACAGACTCTTGGAAGGGGAAGGCAGGAGGGTGCTTAGAGATGAGATAAAAGAACAGGAATTCCCCAACCCAGTGGGAGAGACAGGGCCCTGTTAGTCAAGACAGAAATGTGATTCCAAAAAAGGGAAGGTTCTGATTCATGTCACTGAACCATCCATTTGTCTTCGGCTCTGGGCCCTCTCTGCACGTCAGCCAGGATGGCCTGGTCTGTGCACACCTGCAGGCTCACGTCCTGCCAGCTCACTGGCCCTAATGGAGAGACGCTCTGGGAGAAAAGTCCCAGGGAAAGTTCTGAATGGCTTATCTTGAGTTGCATGCCTCCCTGAACAAACCACCTTGGTCTGGGGAGAGGTGTTTTCTGACTGGCAAGGCCTTGCATGCCCATTTTTGCACTGGATTTTGTTGTGGGGCCCGGACAGCAGCAAGACCACACGGAATGGATGGGAGGTGAAAGGGAAGAGATGGAGGCAGGAGAAGCCATGGGGACCCGGGAGGCTAGCTGCCCAGACAGCCGGCCTTTCCACCCCCAGGCTCTGCAGGGCCATCCTGTCAGGTCAAGGAGTCCAGAGGGGTCATCACCAGAGGAAGGGGCCTCTCAGTGTCTTAGTTTCATCAGGGATTTTCAAACCTCAGCACTACTGACATTTGGGGCCTGATAATTCTTTGCTGTTGGGACTGTTCTGGGCACTGCAAGATGTTGGGCAGCTTCTCTGGCCTCCGCTTCCTAGAAGCCAGTAGCATCTCCCCGGTCTTTCCTTGGGACACTCAACAATGTCTGCAGACCTTGACACATGTCCCTGGGGAGAGAGAGCCTGAGGGGGCCCTGGCTGAGGACTGCTGGTTCAGATGATCCCAGAGGCAGATGTGGAGATGGGCATTCCAGGAAGTGTACACAGCCAAGTGGGGATCTGCAATGAGGAGATGATGGAAGCCAGTCAGCACTGTGGGTTTCTGGGCCTTTGCTGCAGGGGGACCCTGGAACTGGAAGCAGCAGGCTGAGGAGCAGGTGCTGGAGCTCTGCCAGGCCGCCCCTCTGACAGCGCTGGTCCAGGTGCTAATCCCAGGGCGCGGCGGGCATGCTGTGTGACGTAGGGTGGGCCCTGGCAGCGCCAAGAGGGCAGGTGCTGGCTGCTGAAAGTTGGGCAGCGGGCACTGAGTGTTAAGGGACAGGGGAGCATGGAAGCACACCCCCAGTTTCCTGCTTCTTCCGTTTCTCCCCTGTCCAGTCAGCGTGACCGTGTGAGGGTATGCCTCTGAAGGGGTCTATGGGCTGGCCATGCTCTCACCCCACCTGCGGGCTTCCTTACTCCAAAGTCTCCCCACTTGGTGTCATCTCTCCCACCTCTCCAGCCCCATTGGTCAGAATCCTGATGCTGCCATGTCCAAGCTGTGTGACTTCAAGTACATTTCTTAACTTCTCTGGGCTTGGATTTCTCCTGTATAAAATAGGGCTAATGACACACCTGGTACATACATTTGGGGCTGCAAGGACTAAAGGAAATGTGGACACACAACGAACTTCACTGTCCCTCCTCCAATTGGTGACTACAGGAGCCCGGGTGCAACCTTCCCTGCAGGTATTTATAGCCACGGGCCCCTCCTGCCCTGAGAAGGGTGGCCGCCCTGAGCAGGATGAAGTTGCAGGCAAGCCCAGGGCCGGGAGCCCCGCTGGGTGACTGTAGCACCCTCTCAAGGCTGCTCTCCCGCGGTGCCGTATCATCTCCCCCAATGCCCCGCTCAGAGCCTGGGTCGGGTGGTGCAGCCGAGGGCCCCCTCAGGCCTCCACCCCTCTCACTGCACAACTGGGGCCTTTTCCTTGTGAATAACGGACTGGAAGGTCTTTGCCAGAGCTGAGCAAGATCACCACAAAATCTGACATTAATTAAGTACCTGCTGTATGTGTATTTATGTCACTGAATCGTGACAGTCTGAGGTAGCCCCTCCTGATCTTGACCCCATTCTGCCCACAGATGCCTCAAGCAGGGCTGAGAGAAGGTAGGCCGCTGGCTCCTCCCAGGCCTGAGAGGGGCCTCTGGCCTCTTGCTTGCACCAGATGCTGGGGCTCATGCAAGGCTTGATTCGAGCGAGGCCTGTCTGGAACCTGAGCCTGTCTTCTGGGTAAGGGGAAATACGCTAGGCTGTGGGCCACGTGATACAGCCATGGGAGCCACTGGACTTCAGCAAAGGGAGAACCCAAGTGGGCCACCATCGCCACTGGCTTAGGCTCAGGTCTGCAGTCAAGAGGGTGGCTCTGTGCCGCACAACTGTGGGTTCAAGGCCTGGCGCCTCCCCTTGGTCAGGCCTCAGGTCTTCATCTGTGAACAGAATTTAAAGGGTGGCAAACACTCAAGGCATTCACCCTGTGTCCTCTTCTCCATGGGCATCAGCCAGAATACTTTTCCCAGAGCCCCTTGCTGCAGGGAGTGACCACGTGACTCCTGCTGCCAGCGGAAAGTGAGAAGTCCTAAGTGCCACTTCCAGGCCCGGCCCCTGAGAGACACCCCCACCCAGGATCCATGCCCTCCTCTCTCCTGCTGACTCAGCCAAGGGTTCAGAAGACTTGGAGGTGGTGAAGCCGCAAGGTAGGAGCCTGGGCCAGTGGTGACTGTCAGCAGAGCCCTCGCACCGCCTCTCTGACCACAGTGTGAGCCAGACAGGCATTTCTATTATGATAAGCCAAGGGGATTTGGGGCTGTTATCCTGACAAAACACCTGGCAAGAATAATGCTCAGCTGAATGCTCCCCCTGTGCCTGGCACTGTCCTGTGCGGCCTGTAAGAAGCTCACCCAATCCTCAGGGCAGCCTTGTCGCATGGGGGAGGAAACTCGGTGCCCAGGCCTGCAGTGGGGATTCTGCGATCACGCAGGCAAGGCTCTAGCGAAAGTCAGAGTCCACAGAAAATGCTGCTTTCTGATCACTGTGGCTAACGCGACCCCATAGAGACCAGAGGCTTTAAGATAGCCACCTTTGGGTTTGAGCGCCCCTTCACTTTCCAGATGGGTGAGTGTGGGTGTGCCCTTACTTCTCTGCGCCTTAGTTCACAGGCACCTGTGTAGTAGTGGGCTCACAATGGCACCTATGTCCAGAGTTGTGCTGGGGGTTGAGTGAGTGAACACCTGTAAAGCAGGTCGGAGCTCAACCCAGTGTATCATTATTGCTTTTATTACTGTATCATTATTCCTATTACTTTTATTAGTAGTATCACTACTGGCTGCTGTTAGTTTGGGGGCAATTCTGGTCACTGCTCTGACCTTACGTTCCTTATCTGTGAAACTGGGGTGCCAGGGGAGTTGAGAAGTTAGTATCAGTGTGGGAGGTGGGGGAAGGTAGGAGCTGGAGGGAGGCCGCCCCACCCCTGGCCTTACCACATGCTTGGACAAGGAGAGTGGGCTCTCCTTCCAATCTCCCCAAATCTGCTGCTGTGAATTTATAGGCTGGCTTCCAGATGGAGGGAGAGCCCAGTGGGCTCCAGGGACCAGCTGTAGGAAGGGACCTGTCTGCTTGCATCTGGGAAGGCGAGCAGCCCAAATCTGGGTTCCGGTCCGTACTCTGCCACGTCCAGCTTGTGACCCTGAACCATCTGACCTCAGTTCCCATCTGTGAAATGGAGGTGGCAATGGTACCTAACTCAGAGGGTCACTTTGAGGATTAAATGAGAGACTCAAATCTTTTGCTGAGTTGCCGGTCTCTGTGAAGTTACTATTTTTCACTGTCCAAACTCTACTATTTGGAAGTGAGTCAATAAGCCTAAACCACCCTCAAGTGGGAGAGGACAGGAACTGGGCTCCATCTCTAGGAGGAAACCTTGACTTTTTAAAATGTTAACTCAGTTACCTTTTTAGAAAATCCATGCTTGTGGTTTAAAAGCAAAAGATATCAAAGGACACAAGGTGAAAAGTATCTCCCAATCTCTGTCCTCTGAAGTAACAATGTCACCGTTTTCTGGTAAATCATGCCAGAGGTATTTTATGCAGACAGATGAATATATATACTTCGCTCCACCTTTCCTACACGGAGGTAACACACTGCCTGTACTCGGCTGCACCCAACCGCAGAGTGGCTTGGATGAGTGAGACCCTATAAACACCCAGCTGTCTGCCTGTGATGAATAGTTAAGTAAATTACATTTCTGTATAGCAAGGGCCTGGCCACAGCCACCTGAAGTTACACAAATAAACAGTATCTGGTATCACAGAAAAGTAATATGTCAACCAACATGTCCAATGAAAATAAGATCGAGTGCAGAGAACATATGATTTCTATTGGGTGGATGCTATCTTTCAGGAGGATGCAGTTCAGAAGAGGTCACAGGAAACCGTAAACCCCTCAGATAAAGTGGAAGATTTGTGAGTATAACATTTTGCTACACATAAAAACCAAAGAAGAAGATGGGCCTGTGAGCTTATGGGGAACACAGTATCGAGGATCCTAAAGCCAGCCACAGGTGGATGGAAAGACCTGTCACTCTTTCTGGTCAGGGAGGAAAGGGCTGTTTGACTTTCTAGAATCTGTCTCCCTGGATCAAGGGTGTTTGCAGTTAATTGCATTGTGGAAGTAAGAGTAGAGCAAACACCCCACCCAGGGCAGGGACAGGATATAGATTCTTGAGGCCTGAGTTGCCAGACTTGGGACCACACACTTGCGGGTGCCCCACGCCCCAGCACTACTCACAGCCTGGGGGATCAAGTGCTGCCTTTCAGCGTGGCATCCATTCATTCATCTGTTTAGCCCACCCACCCACCCACCCAGCCATCCTTTCATTTATTCAGCCAGCCAGCCACCCATCCACTAATTTCTTTCCCTTATTCACTCAGCATTTATTGTGTGGCTGACCCTGTACCAGGTACAGGGATATAGCTGTGGCTGAAATGGACACTGGCCCCTCCCCATGGAGTGTATATTCTGGGGCAGAACTAACCCAGTGTGGGAAGTGCCAGAGTTACTGGCTCAGGGAGCTTCGAGGGAAGGGTCTGAAAGTTAGTAGGAAGTTATAATCTATCTCAGCAAGATGATTTGCTCTAATGAGGAACATACATCACACTGGGCGAGCACAGCATGGTTCTTATCAGAATTAATGAGATAATACATATTAGTTAGAGAAGTCAGAGATTTCCTGGGTGCCAGGCCTGTATTGAGTGTTTTGCATAAACTAACTTGTTTAGTCATCCCAGTTCTATCAGATGGGTACTATTATGATCAATCATTTGCCAGGAGAAAGGTAGAGGAGGCTCAGAGAGGTTAGGTAACTTGCCCAAGGTCACACAGCTGGTGAATGGCAGAGCTGGAATGGGAACTCAGGCTGTATAGTCCTTGACTGTGGCTCTCCTGGATCAGAGGAACTAACAGGTGCCACAGAATTTGCTTCTTCACCTCTCAGAGGACAGATGAGGTCTTATCTATAGATCATGGGGCCTGGGGGGTTGTGCAGAGTTAGATCACTTTCTCAAAAAAGACCTCTATTTTGAATCTAATACGATCAAGGCCGGTCCCAAATCCCAGGCTGTAAGCAACTGACCATGTTCTGTCAGCTGGGCTCCTCCAGGATGCAGAGCAGAGGTTGGGCTGGGAAGCATTGGGGGTGCAGTGTTCCAGAGCTCTGGCCTGATGTCCAAATGAGCCCTGTTCCTGGGGGCCCAGCCCCTGCCACGAGGTAGCTGCTGATCCCCTGGAAGGGGGAACACCTTCCCCCCTCACCACTGCCAGGAGATGCCTCAGAGGCTTGCTGGAGAGTCGCTGGCCTGCCCCCACCTCTTGGGACCCCTCCCCACTGTCCTTTCCGAGGCCACCCCCACAACCTGAGCATTGTTCATGCCTGAAATATTTCAGGAAGTCACACAGCCCTTTGCCAAGACTGCACAGACTCATGGCTCATGTTCTCCTAAAAGGTCGTGTTCCTCTTCCTGACTATCTGACCCCTGACCCGGGCCCTTCACACCCTTGGCTTCACAGGGCAAAGCAGAGACGTGGCTGGTTCCAGCCGCTTGGCGCCCTCCAGGATTCACCCACAGAACCATCTTCCTGACGGCCTCAAGGGTCCTGGGCTGCTGAGCTGGCCTCTCAGCCAACCTGTGTCAAGTCCTCACCTGGAACTGGGGGATCTGTTAATGTTTCCACTTCACTCTGTCCTCAGCACGTACAGTTTGGAGAAAGTAAATACTTTGGGTAGGTATTTACTCCCAACTGCTCTGATCAGCCCAGAAGGCTCTGGCCTGAGCCCGGCCTGCCCATGTCCAAGGCAGAGAAGCCACACTCTTTGGGGCTGTCCCTTTGTGTATCGTCCTGAGGAGGATGGCTCCCTGGAGGCGACAGCCTTGGGTAATGCCTGCAGTGCACACTCAGTGCCTACCCACACCCTCCCTCCGAGGCCATCGCCTCCAGCTGCCAGCCGCTGAGTCCATCTGCCCCGTGACTCTCTGGTCTCCTGGCTGCTGGGGTAGTTTTCACAAACTGCCTCGCTTAGTCATCACGGTTCTGTGCTCTGTGGGCGCATACAGGCGGCCAGAACTGCCCCTCCTCCCGGGCCAGATGGTAAGCCCCCAGCTCCTGGCCTTCAGTGCCACAGGCCAGCCCCCTATAACACACCCTCCACAGGCTTCCTTCCTTGCCTGTCTCACCCACCACCTCCCCTGCCAGGGCTTCCTGGGGTCACTTGTCTTGCATTTAGATCCCGGACTCAAGTCTGCCTGCAAGGAAACCCAAACTAAGAAAAACATCTGATTGCCAACATTTATCGAACACTTTGTGCTGAGCAGGGTGCTCATACACTTCATGTGCCTTGACTCATTGAATCCTCTGACAGCCAGTGCAACACAGTAGGGACCGTTATCAGCTCCATTTTACAGGCACAGAACCTGACTCAGAGCAGAGGCTTGGCGCCAAGCCACTCCTCCCATGGACCAGCCTCCAGGCACCCTGAATTGTCCTCAGTCTCCAAACTGCTGTGTCGCTCTCCTCCTGCCCTCTGCCCTCTGACACACAGAGGGGTTATCACTTGGTCACACAGTAAATTAGAGGGTGAACCTGGCTCAGGAGCAGGCTCCAGGTGTGGAGCCCTCACACCTCACCCCTGCGAGGCAGACCAGCAGCCCCTCGAGATGCCCCCATCTGGACCCTGTGCTGTCACCTGCTGGGGCAAAAGACACTTTGCAGATGTGATAAAGTCAAGAATCCTGAGATGAGGAGATGACCTGCATTATCCAAAGGGCTCTGGGGAAACAGCAACCGCCCTCAGAAGAGGGTGTTTTTGTCCTGCCTCTTTCAGCCAGAATATGATGTGATGACCCAGCAGAGGGACTCTCGGGAGAAAGAGATTTGGAGATGCTACACCGCCGACTCTGAAGACAGAGGAAGGGGCCACCAGCCAAGAGATGCGGGTGACCCCTGGAAGCTAGAAAAGGCAAGGAAACAGATTCTGCTCTGCATGCTCCAGAGAAACAAGCTCTGCCAGCACACTGACTAGAGAGACCTGCTCCAGACCTTGGGCCTCCAGAACTGAAAGAGATTGCATTTGTTGTCTCAAACCAGCACGTGTGGTGATTGGTTACAGCACCCATGGGGAACCGTCTTCCATTGGAGTTGTTTCTGTCCTTTGCTAGTATGAGTAACGTTGCTACAAACATTTGTGTACTTTCTGTGTGCATGGTCTCATCTCTCTTGGGTGTATACCTGGGTGGTGTGGAATAAGTCTTTGCGTCCTAACCTCTTGCTACAGTTTCCTTGTCTCTAAAATGAGGCTAGTGCTGGTACCTAATTCATAGTGTTATATGAGAAAATTAATGCAAAGTGCTTAGCCTGATAATTGCCGTAGATCAGAGCTGTTACCCAATTAGGCTGTAAGTATTTTTTGATATGTCTTTCTGTCCAGTTGGGTCCTAGGGTCCTGGAGGGCAGGAGCTTCATCCTGCCTGGCCTGGAGCAGACACCATGGAGAGCACAGATGTTATTGCTCTTTCTTGGCCGGCCACGGAGGAGAATGTGGCTCCTGGTGGTTGAAAACCTTGATTAATGTTACAAGAGTAAAGAGAAGCAGAAGCCAAACTCCAATCTCTAACCTCAAGCAAGAGTTCATTCATTCATGCAACATCAAATATTTACTGAGCACCTGCTGTGTGCGAGGCAAGTTCTAGGCAGTGGTGTCTTCGTGAATTATTTGGGAAGATAAGATAAATTAGTTATGTTGTATCTTTAGGTGATACACTATACACTAGAAGCTGATATGTGCCAAGGGGATAAACAAGGCAGAAAAGGAGGACAGGGCAGTGCCAAGGGGGTGCTGGGAGAGTTTCCATTTATGTGGAGGGACCAGGGTAGGCCCCACAGAGAACAGGGCCTCTGAGTCGGGATTTGAGGCAGGGAGGGGACCACGTGAGTGTCTCTAACTGTGACTCAGCAGGATCAGATCAGAAGCAGCTTGTGGACAACGGTGATGACGGCGACGACAGCTGCCACTTCTTCATCTGCTGCTGTGTGCGCAGCCCACGCTACCTACGTTTATTTTGTAAGTGCCTCCCAACAACAGTTGTGTTGGGTGGGAATCACTCTTATTCCCACACACCTCAGCAGTGGCAGAATGGGGGTTTGAACCTGGATCTGAGTCCAGCATCTGTGCCAAGCATCTGAACCACTTGCCGTGGTTCGCTGGGAGGCAGTACGGCGCTGTGGTTCAGGGCTCTGGAGTCAGATCCATTGACAGGATGGCTTTGGGCTGCCTGCTGAACCTCCCCTGGCCTCAGTTCCTGCCTCACACATTATGTGAGGATTAATGTGGCGACAGGTACAGATCACCTGCTCAGTGTACGGGGCAGTTGTCACGACTCCCGTCGCTAGGCCTAGGGAAATGACTTCGCATTCTGGAAAGCCATCTGGCACAGCGGACTTGCTCCGGTCCTGACCACCTTGGGGCCACATGAGTGGTCGGCCGTCTAGGCCCACAGAGGTGGGAACCTCTCATGCTTGGAGAACAGGGGGCCCTCTGGGACCCTGTTAAGCTCGGCCAGCCATGTTCTAATTGCTCTCTTGTTGCTCCTCAGCGAGCCTCCAAAGCCCAGCAGCTCCCCCAGGTGAGGCTCGAGGGACACCAAGGCAAGATGCTTCCCCTTAGCTCTGAGCCCTTCCCTCCCCCCCCCACCCAGAGAAGCTGGGGCAGGCAGACTGACCTCCCACTGTTTTGGAAGGGCCTGTCTCCTATCAGGGGCTGATTCCAGTCTGAGCTGAGAATGTGTTTACTGGCCAAAGTCTGCTCCAAAGTAAGCATGTAATCACATTCCTCCCCGCCTGTAACCTCCGTGGGGAGAATCGGGGGCCATCATGCAGCAAGGGTGGTGAGGAAACCTTATCTGACTCCATTTCAGCAGGATCCCACTTAATTTGCCCTTGGTTGGGGGGTGTGGGGGAGAGAAAGGAACAGATCATCTTAAACAAGTTGAATAAAAGCACACTGTTGGTGCAGTAATTCTCTGTGATGATAAGTGGGGGGAGATTGGGAGATTCAGAAGACAAACATGTTATGTACCGAAAGAGCACACAGTTCTATGTGGGTGTGCCTTTGAATTTATTTTTATTGCCCTTTTTTTGCCCATAAAAGTAAAACAGACTGTTTTTCTTCCTTTCTACTTTTTTTTTTGGTATGATTGACTTACAGTAAACCACACATATTTTGAGTACACAGTTTACACACATACACACACACACACACACACACACACTCATGAAACCATTACTACAATCAAAATGGGGAACACATCCATCGCTCCAAAAGATTTCCTCCATACTCTTGTATAATCTCTCCTTCTCATCCCTCCCTCCCTCCCCAGGCACATATCCATCTGCCTGGTCACTATAATTAGTTTGCATTTTCTAGAGTTTTCTGTAAGTGGAATCATACAGTATGTATTCTGTTTAAGTCTGGCTCCTTTCACTTAGTGTAATTAGGTTGGGATTCAGCTACGTGGTAATGTGCATTTTAGGGCCCTCCTTTTTGTTGCTGAGCAGTGACTAGTCCGCTGTACAGAGGCCCGGTGTGTTCATCCATTCACCTGGTAATGGACCTTCGGGTTGCTTCCAGTTTTGGGCACTTACACACAGAGCTGGGGCAAATGTCAAGTCCGAGTCTTTATAGAAACATGCTTTTATTTCCCTGGGGTAGTTACCTAGATGTGGGATGGCTGCATCATATGGTAGATATATGTTTTTAAGCTTTTAAGAAGCTTTTCCAAAGTGGGTATACTATTTTACATTTCTGCCAATAGTGTGTGTTTAAAGACACTAGAGAAACATTTAAGATAGAAAGTCCTTAAGATAGAAAAGTTCTTATAATTTCACCTAGTGATGGCCTGGTTAACTGTGCGCTGTAAATCCTTCCCAGCCTTTTTAAAAATTTTGTATTAAGATATGATTGATATACACTCTTATGAAGGTTTCACATGAAAAAACAATGTGGTTACTACATTTACTCATATTAATAAGTCCCCACCCACACCCCAATGCAGTCACTGTCCATCAGTGCAGCAAGTTGCCCAGAGATCCACTGTGTCCCTTCTCTATGATACACTGTTCTCCCCGTGATCCCCGACCCCGTGTGTACTAAACATAATACCCCTCAGGCCCCTTCTCCCTCCCTCCCCACCCGCCCTCCCACACCCCTCCCCTTTGGTAACCACTAGTTCCTTCTTGGAGTCTGTGAGTCTGCTGCCATTTTGTTCCTTCAGTTTTGCTTCATTGTTATACTCCACAAATGAGGGAAATCATTGGGCATTTCTTCCCGGCTTTTTTGTTTTCTCACCCACATACAGAACCAGACTGAGACGCAGAGGTGTGCTGGATGGGTTACTAATTTGGCATGCCTTCAACTCCATAGTTTAAAAACAGTTGTTCAAAACTTAATGAGGCAGGATGTGGAGAAACTGATTTTCTGTTCATAAAATATATCATGTCTCTTTCTTTTCAAAATAAGGGATTTATTATATGTACAGCATGCAACCTTTTGTCTTGGAACTGGAGCTGTCCAGGCAGTTGGCTTCTTGGGGCCTCTATCACAGGGCACGTGACTCAGGGGACACACTAACAAATCACTAGGTTTGGGGACAGCACACAGCTCTGACCAAGGAAAAAGCTGACATGGGGGACCAGGGAGCTGAGAGAATGGTCACCTAGCTGGACTCTGCTCTGTGTCACAGCCGAGTTGCCCCTGATGCTGGGGCGAAGAATGTTCTCATTTCCCCCAACAGGTCTGTCCCGTGTGGAAACCGGAGTTAACTGGCACTCTGTTTCCATCTAGTCCAGTGCTATTTGGGTTCACTTTCTAGAAGACTGGCACCCTGGTAGGCCTCCTGGCTGACTAGCTCTGTGCATATATTAACATACATTAGTGTTGTTTTTATTTTTTACATGTGTGCACAAATTGGACCAAATTCATGTTCATCTGTAACTTGCTTTTCTTTTTCCCTATTTCACAAGAAATCTGGAGATCTTTTCACATCAGCCCATGTAGGGCCATTGTTGTCTACCTGAGGGATGTACTGAAATGCAATACTTACCCACCTTCATGAGCACCTGAATCATCTGGGGGCTTTTATTAAACCATAGCTTCTAATTCGGTAGGTCTGGGGAGGTGCCTGAGATTCTGCACACTGCCAGGTGCTCGCCAAGCTGCTGGTGGCACCAAGCGGGGCTACAGTACATGTGAGGGACCAGGGACTGAGGGACATTTGGGCTGATATCAGTCGTGCTACAATAAACAGCCTTGAGCAGATCCCAAAGGGCTACTAGAGAACAGGTTTTAGAGTCAGAAGATAGAGCATTGAAGTCTGACCCTGACGCTGTGTGACCTTAAATGGGCCACGATCTTTCTGAGCTGCCTGCCAGTGTGTCCCTCCTGCCTGGCAGTTCAGTGAGTGGTCACAGACGCCTCCACTCTCTTAGGCCCCAGGGATAAACAGTCCCTGTCCTTGAGCACTCTGAGAGTCATCCTGCTAATCCCGCTTTGCAGAGCCGGGACGGGAGGGGAGAGAGGAGATAAGCAGGGAAAGGGCTTTGTCAGCTGTCCAGTGGCCACAAAGGCATCTCTGTGCCAGTTGGAAGGCAGACTAGGTTTGCCAGGTGAGCGGGGGCTAGACAGGGTTTCCTTTAGCCAAAAGTGCTCCGTGGCATTTGTCTGCATTAAAAAAACAAACAAACCAGACCCACACATAAATCTCCCAAAGAAGCCGAAGTGGGTGGAGGAAAAGGGCCCAGTCATTCACAAACGTGTGTGTGTGTGTGATTCCAGCAAGCCTGGGGTGGGTGTGCCGCATGCCCTGGCCGTGAGTTCCACGCTGGGCTGGGAAGGCCCAGGGGGAGGAAGCCAGGCCCTCAGCAGGCCTTGTCTCCCACCCCTGCTGAGTGAGCAACACTCAAATGTCAGTGGACAGCGGCCACCGCCTCGGTTTTTTTACCGTCACTGGGCAAATCATGCTTCCGGCAGTCAGGGCCGGGGGCTCTGAGGGACTGCAGAGCTGAGAAAGGCAGATGTGGCCGCCAAAGTCAGAGAATTAAAGTCCCGTTTCACAGGTGAAAAAGAGTGAAGGTTGTTTAGCAAATTCATGTCTGAGAAAGCATTTTAGCATCCAGGGCTTGAATT